AAAATAGAGGTTGGATAAAGTTCAAGTCTAAATCCTTACAGATATGGATTAAAGGGTCTTATTTCCTGAACAAGCATTCATATTCATAAAAAATAACATATATTATATATATATATATAAAATATATATACATACACACTAGTATGTTATATATGTATGTACATATACATATATACACTATATATGTAAGCATATATGTATATAAATATGTGTATATATACATATATGAACACATGTTATATTTGTTTATATATACATATATGTACATATCCATCCATCCATCCATCCATCCATTTATATGTTTATGTATGTATAGCATGTGTGTGTGTGTGCGTGTGTGTGTGTGTATGTGTATATGTAGTTGGAAAGCCTTTATTTCATCCTATAGAAAATATACAGAAAAGACAAAGAATTCCCAAGAGTCCATAAACAATACAGAGAATATATAAAGGTATTAAGGTAACCCATAAGCAATCAGTATAATTCTCTTTCCTTTCTGGGGCACTACAGTTCCTTTGACTCACAGTATTGTCCTTTTCCTTCTTCTGAGAAGGGAAACAATTCTGAAGCTGCTAAAGGAACAACTCTGAACATTCTAGTGCCTATGAGGGGAGAAGGGAGAATAAGCATTTATATTTATATATCTCCTACTATGTGCTAGGCACTGTGCTAAGCACTTTTTACAAATTGTATCTCACTTGATTTTTTACAAGTAGAAGTAGATGCTATTATTATTTCCATTTTGCAGCTGAAGAAACTGAGGCAAACATTGGCTAAGTGACACAGCTGGTAAGTGCCTGAGATACAGTTGAACTCAGGACTCCTTGACTCTAGGCCTGGTGTCCTATCTACTCTGCCTATAGGTAGGGTAGTCATTTTCATTGGAGTTGCACACAGTCTTTTGAGATCACTTTGAGGGTTTAGAATTGCCTGGGGAGAAAAGAACAGATAAATCCTTGATATTCTGATTAGCTCATTTTCTTCTCAGAGATGCATGTCAGCATTTAGTCTTATGATGCCATCCTGAAGGCTTAGACTATCCTGGAATGAAAACTAAATTGATGTTGTAAGAGAGGCAACTCTAGATGTTGGCTGCCAGAATAACTCATGGTAATAGGGAGCAAAGTCCAAACCTTTTGCTCCCTGATAATGAATTCCCTTGATGCTCATCAAGTTCCAGAAATCAGAGCCTTTCCTCTCTTCAAGAGGCTAGATCTGCCTGGAAAGCAGAGTCCATAGAACTCTTAAATTTAGGGCTGCTAAGAGAGGAAAACCTGATGATGGTACTGCCTAGAAACACATAGATAGAACAATTATCAACAGTTAGATAGAACAATTATTAAATGTTTATTCTACCATAGGTATTACATGGCCAGAGTTCTTGAAGGCTTTAAGTTACAGAAATGTTGTCATTTTGCATGAGGAGGGAAGAAGTATCTATACCTTGAGTTCTCCATATTAATGAAAATATAGGTCTGAATTAAAAAAAAAAACAATACCCCAAACCAAACTGTCAAAGCAAAACAAAACAAATATATTTACCTGCATACAAACATACTCAATGAGCTTCCTATCTTCACTGTATATGATAAACTGGGTCTTGTGTGTTTTTTGCTCATTTTATTTTTGTATTATGGGTATTTAGACACACCTATTTCAAATTATTGTAGATTTCGTAGAGAAGTTTATTCAGAGTTTAGTGTTATACAATGAGCAAAATGCCATTTGTAAATAGAAGTTTTCAGAGAATTGTGCCATCAGTAGGGAAGAACCCTGACTCTATAGCTGTAGGAATTCTCCACAACACTAGTGAGTTTTATATGAGTTTACGCAAAATGTGTGTTGTGCCTTATTTGATATCAATAATCAAAAAGTCATTCCTGGAGGTACATCTGTTGTAGACTCATATTCTATTCTCACACGTGCAGAAGAAACTGTTTGAGGAGAGGCTTTAAGAAAAAAGAAATGTTATTCTAAAGGGTCCAATTCCTTTTTTTTTTAATATCCACAAACAATAAACATAGTGAGACCTAAGAGCCTCTAAACCTGTAGATAGATCAATTTTATCACTAGAAAGAAGCTGACGATAAAAAAAAATTGAGAAACTCCTGCTTGTTCTCTTTTTCTGTTTTTAATTAATTTATTTCAACCTATTCATAGACCATTTTCATAAAAATTCTCTATAGGGGCAGCGAGGTGGCACAGTGGATAGAGCACTGGCCCTGGAGTCAAGAGGACCTGGTTTCAAATCCGGCCTCAGGCACCTAACACTCACTAGCTGTGTGACTTTGGGCAAGTCACTTAACCCCAATTGCCTCACCAAAAAAAAAAAAATTATAGGTGGCATATATAGTAGTGGCTGATGTCTTCTTTGTCACTTTTTATTTTTCTCTTTATTTTCTTAGGATCATACCTTGTATGATCTTTTCCTTTCTTTTGGAATTTTTTCCAATTTTTTTATATCTTTAAAATAATGACAATTCATATTTATGTAGAACTTAGAGGGTTATAAAGTGATTTGCATATATGAACTTGTTTTACCTTCACTACAACTCTGTAAGGTAACTGCTATAGATATTACCATCCCCATATAATAAAGAAGGAAACTGAGTCTGAGAAAGTTCCAATGATTTGCCCACAGCTGCATAGGTAGTAAGTGTCTGGGGTGAGATTAGAACCCATGTATTCCAGACTTGAAGTCACTAGCTATTTTGCCAGCAAACCTTGAAAACAGATTCCCTGGAAAGACCTTAAAAGGAATGCCTTTAGTTTTTTCCTAAATCAAAGAATTCTTCTTGGTGTATCACAGAAATACAAAATGTTAGAATTGAAAAGTACTTTAGAGATCATGTTGTTATGAGGAAATTGAGAAACAGAGATGGAGATCTATTTGCCCAATGTCACACAGGTAGTAAGGAGCTAGGACTCAAGATCTTTTGACTCCAAACTCAGTTATCGATGTTGTTGTTTGATCTGGCTACACTATAAAGCTGGCCATTGTTCCTGACTTTATCTTCTCAAGCATCACTGTCACTCGCTCAAATGAATTACTGAGGTGGTGCACTTTAAATTAGATTGTTCTACTACTATTGTTGCAGAAAAAAAAAAGTCAGTACAGAAAAATTGAATGACTTGTTCCATTGCACATCTCTTGTCCTCCTGTTTTCATCTATAAACGATTTTTAGGATGATCTGGCTTGGTTGAGTTTCACATCAAACTCTAGGCAGGTTTAGTTTCTCAACCAGCCTCTCCCTCCCCCTTTAAGGAAATTTTGCTTGTATTGGCATCATCCATTATGGTGTTTTTAAGATAATGTGTATTCTAAATCAGTGTTGTCCTTTTTATGTCTCTGGATGGCAAAGAGACTAAGTATGTGTTTGTTTGATGAAATCATTTGTAGGCCCTTTCAGGCCACTTATGAGGGTGACTATTTTTCATTAGTTAAGCTCTTCTAAGAAATGGTTTCATTTACAATAAGTATATCAATGGAGATGTGTTTCAGTTACTCTTACGGTATATTAAAGATTGTGCATTAAGATTCAAAAAAGTTAAATAAATGTTTGGAGACCAAGCTTTATCTGATTCTGAACTCCCTCTTCTCCCCTACCACTTTACCACCATCATTATGGAAGTAGAAAAGAATTTTTAAAAATTGGAGGATTTTTTAATAGTCCATTTCATGAGTAACCTTGACCAAAAAATAGGTTATCTGGAGGCTGACTTACTGGTGATGAATCTCTACATAGCTAACTTTTGCAGAAGAAAAAATTTGTCATCCAGATCATCAGATCACAGCTGAAGCCTTTTTAGCTTGAGAGAACCCATCAGAGATTTTCTCCCACTGGTATAAGAACTCAGAATTTTTTTCCCCTCCATGATGAACGATTAATGCAGAACTTCTGATATAAATTATTTATTTAACTTGACTTGAGAACTTCTCTAGCCAAAAGAGATTAGGAATTCTTCCTTGTGCTTATTCTTTTAGAATAATGGAAATGAGAACTGGAAAACAACAGTAAATGTTCATATCAATATTGCTGAGATTCCTTATCTTATTAGTTAAGTTTCCATGACTCCCAGCTAATGCAGTTCCCAGGATTGGAGGCCTATCTGACAGCAGCAAATCACCCTGAGGCAAAAACAGGAGGCAGCATTTGCCAGACAAATCAAAATACTTCCTTTCAGATTCTGGTAGAGAGATTCCAGGACTTTGAGCTCCAGAATTTCAGTAATAACAGTGCCCTCCTCTTCCCTGCTTCTAGTTTGGCCCTTACAGTTATTATCAAGGAGAGCAAACATTGTGGAGAGGGGACCACCATTCCCAATATCTCCATCCTCAGCTTCAGCCAGCTGCCACCAATGGGCAGGCAAACCCAAGAACTCTGGGAATAGCAGTATGTCCTTAAACCATGGGTCTTGCTTCTGGCTCATTTAATGGTTCAATATCAGAAACCACTATGATTTTATTAATGAAAATGACATTTAAGAAGATGCATTACCACTTGGCCTTTGTATTTGACTTGCAACTGAAACTTTCTGTATGTGTTGTTTTCCTGTAATAGAAGGTAAACTTCCTGAGAGCAGGAACTGCCTTGGTTTTCTCTTTGTATTCCTAGCACTTAGCACAGTACTGTGAACATTGTAAACATGTACCATAATTTTTCATTTTCCTTCCTTCCTTCCTTCCTTCCTTCCTTCCTTCCTTCCTTCCTTCCTTCCTTCCTTCCTTCCTTCCTTCCTTCCTTCCTTCCTTCCTTCCTTCCTTCCTTCTCCCCCCCGCTGCCTGTCCCTCTCTCCCTCTCTCTGTCTTTGTCTATCTCTCTGTGTGTCTCTCTCTCCCTCTCTCTCTCTCTCTCTCTCTCTCTCTCTCTCTCTCTCTCTCTCTCTCTCTCTCTCTCTCTCTCTCCCCCTCTCTGTCTCTGTATCTGTCTGTCTCTGTCTGTCTGTCTGTCTGTCTCTTCCTTTCTTGCTTTCTCTTTTTTCCATTAGCCCCTCTTACCTGTTTTTACTGTCTGCCAGCCAAGGGAGAAAGGACTTCGAGCTTGCAGATTGTAGGAAGAAATGGGGCTGTGGTTGTCTGCAGCAGGACTCCAGGACAGGGTGGCTGTGCTCTCTGTAATCTCTTCAACAATCACAATGCCAGGAGGACCTGGAGGACCTATGGGTAAACAGTAAGATATACAGTTCTAGGGGAATACAGCTTTAGGGAAATAATTTTGTGAACCTTAATTGAGTCATCATGACAAAGAGATGCATTTCCAATAAGGGCCTGATCAAAGGATATAATCACCTTAATGAAATACATATTTAATAACCAAAATTGACAGTACAAATCATGGGATACAGTTAGTGTTCATGATTTCTGGGGTAAATTAATTATAGATTTGATTTGGTCTCTCACAGTATACTTTGAGGCAAGTACCAATTAACATCACATTTCACAGTGAAAGAAAAAGAATGAGAAGTAAAGCTTAGGAAATAAATGCCAATATTGACTAAAGCTGTTGAGGGAGCTCACAGTTTACAGAATCTGCAGTTAAAGGTGATTGAGGCAAAGCACTTAGGAATAAAAACAATTCTGGGTCTCATTAAGACCTTGTCAACACATGGAACATGAAGTATTATGGCTAGAGGACTGAACTTGGGATAAATGTCTATGAATGGGAATTTGCTATTAGTCAATTCATTATTTAGGATCTAGACATGTGTTAGCTGAAGAAAGACCATAGCCCTTACTGAAAACTTATTTTGGGAAAATATCAAAGGGGATGGGTTTCTTTTGTGAAAGCTAAGAACAGAATTCTTATATGGCTTTCTATGGTTTTAATCTGGGAATTAGTTCTAAACTAACAACTCATCTCCAACTTGTCATTTTAGAATTGCCAAGGGATTAAATGACTTGCCTAGGGTCACACAGCAAGATTTGAACTAAGCCCTTCCTGGAACCAGTCTTCACCTCTTCAGTCATGATAATGGCTGCCTGTCAGCAATTCATATGTGCTTGTGATCATCAAGCACTTTTAGCTTACTAATCATAGAAATGATTATAATAGAAGCCTTTTTGAAACAAAAGAATAGAGGTGATAACCAAAGCACAAACATGACAGAACAGCTGGAATTTAGTTCTTAGCTGAGATCTCTACCTAATACCGATTTATGTATGCAAACTTTTTGAGATAGCTAGAGTATCTTCTGGCTGTGACATGATGCATGGCAGTTTTTCCTTAAAGATAATGCTTTGGTGGTTCCAGAGAACATGTGATGAAACGAATCTTTGGCAGAAGGTGACTATGGGTGCAGGATGTTGCATATACTGACAGACGGGATTGTTTCATGAGTTGCCTTTGCAACTCACTATTATTCTTTGTTATAAAGGAAGATTCAGTGTGCATGTGCGTGTGTGTGTGTGTGTGTGTGTGTGTGTATTATATTGGGAAATTACTAGTACAAAAAATCAAAAGCTACCAATAACACTAAAATAATATGATACTTTGAAACATAGGTATTTGTTCTAAAATTAATAATTACTTTCAATACAAAGAAAATGTAAAATGATGTTTATATATCTGAAGTGCCTGGTTGCAGTTAAGCTTGCGGCATGCATTCAGATTGGATTTTAGAAGGTCAAGTCTCACTGAGAACAATACAGTCATTTCCTTTCATGAATATATCGTTGAACATATATCATCACTGATTTTCTTTTGTGATACAACAGTATCGCTACTAACAGAAATTTACTTCAAGGATCTATAATTATTATCTCCAACATAGGTGCTCCCTCCCTCCCCAACTTTAGTAAATGATATTCACAAGTTTTTATGGCCCAAAGAAATTCACCACTTGGTGGAAGAAAGGAAAGAAAGAAAAAAGGAAGAAAGGAAACAAATAAGAATTTATTGAGCTCCTACTATGTGCCAGACACTGAGCTGTGTTTTACAAATATTACCTCATTTGATTCTCACAAAAACTCTGCAAAGTAGGTGCTATTATTATCCCCTTCTACAGTTGAGGAAACAGAGGCAGAGGTTAAGCCCAGGGTCACACATATAGTAAATGTGTGAGACTGGATTTAAAATCAAGTCTTCTTGACTCTAGGCCCATCCCTCCCAACCTCCCTTTATCTCTTCTTTCTTTCTCCTTCCTTTTTTTCCCCCAGTAGGTGGGGATAAGGGGGAGGGAGAAAAATAAGTGTTTTCTCAATGAAAAAAAATAGAAATTTTAAGAGTTTGAAATGCAATGGATGGATTTAAAAAATATAGTACAAATCTCAAGGGTTTCCCACAAATAGTTTACGAGAAAAAAAATTCTGGATAATGTCAAGGTTTATCAAATGTTGCATTATTACTCACAAAATAGAAAAAATACCCAGCATGTTGGCTAGATCTTTTGTGGAGAATCTCTAGGAAAACATGGACATAAATTGTACAAAATGATGAAAGTTGGGGTTTGCACCAATGGAAAGCCAATCCACATCAGTGAGATGATGTATCTAGTGAAGTACTGAACTAAATAGCTACCTTCTAAATCAGATTAAAGCCTGACAAATGCTGAGATAAATTTTGGTTCTTCTACTTACTGAGTGACCTAAATGACCCTTACTTTTCCGATCAGTAACATGGGGAAAATGATACCATGCTACCTACATCACAGACTATCATGATGAACAAATGAGGCAATTTACATATGTAAGACATTCTCTAAATAGATTATAATTGTTTTAATAGTCTTACCTAAACTAGAACCTCACATACTTTGAACATAGCAGGAACGAGATCTACAGATGTTAATAAATCCCTCTAGTAATGTTATTCTGATGCTATAGCAATCCAATCCAATTCAACAAATATTTGTTAAGCACCAAAGCCCTGTGCTGGGTCTTGAAGATAACAAAGACAAAAATGAAGAAAATGAAGAAGCTTATAATCTCCTAGAGGGTTATGGTATATTTCTAGTTGAACCTGCTGGAGTGAAGAGGGCAAAAAAAGAGGCTAAGGAAAAAAACAAAACAAAACAAATGCTCTAGGAATATCTGGATGGAGAAAGCACTAATAGCTAGGACATGGGATCAGGGCATTTATTAAAGCCCAATCGGAGCTACAGAATTGCAATCGAGCTCTTCCCTCTGTGTTAATGATCAAATTTTGTCAATGGTATACTGCTAAATTGTTTAGTGATCCACCACTACCGTGGTTAAAAACCAAGAGGACCCGGTAGGATGTCATCTGGGCAATAAATGTATGATAGCTTGGTCATGTTATATAGATGTGATTCAGACAGTATGAAATTTTAAACTAAATTTTGATCTTAAAGAAATAAAATATATAATGATCTATGTACTAATTCTCTGGCTCTTAAGTATTTCATGCTAACATTTCTGAAATATTTGTCACTGAAATGACCACAAACAGTGCCAATTTACCTATGCTTAGAATATGGATTACTGTAATTGCTTCTTGCTTATTGTATCAAAGCATTTTTGATATAATTGACACTTCATGGTACAAATGAAAACTCTATTTTTAAGTCCTCTTCCTGAGTTTTTATTGATGTTTATTTAAGTGCACAATAGGTCTTATTGTCCCATACTTTTAGTGAAAGTATTCCATTTAAAAAATTATTCCTTCAAAGGCTGGATGAACCTGCCAGGAATGTTTTTGAAGGTTTTGTCTATAGGATGAAGTGTGGAATTTTGGACTATACTATCTTTAAGATTCCTTCCAAATATAAGATTATATTCAGTCAAGGTGGCTCAATCATACTGATGGATATGAGAAATTAATTTATTAAAAATCAGTTGAATCAACTAGTCAGTTAATAAGCACTTATTCAATTCTCATTATACGCTATACACTATGTGCTGGATATACAAAGAAAGGCAAAACAGTTCCTGCTTTCAAGGAGCTTGGGGGAGACAACATATAAATAAGTAGGTACATACAAGATACATACAAAGTATATGGGAGCTACCTTAGTGGGGAAAGCTTAGTAATTTGACATTGTGTAAGTAGCTGTGAAATTCTGTGGTCATAAATTCAGAGCAGAAGATCCCACTGGAAAATTTACACAATACATTAAGCAATAAAAAATCCTAGAGTATACTGTGGTCTAGTGGCTCTGGAGTCAAAGGGCCTGACTTTAAGTCTTGCCTCTGATGCTTACTTACTTACCTCTGTGACTACTGGCAAATCACTTAACTTTCCCTACAGTTTGCTCATCTGTAAAATGATGGGACTGAAACATATGACCTCTGAAGTATCTTCCAGCCCTAGATCTGTGCTCCTATTAATTCATTCTTGAAGTCTATGAATACTATAAATTCAGAAGAATTGTTATGATATAAAGATCCTCCCCCTTTTATTTTTGCTGGCTGTCCTCTGTGCTTGGGACATTCTTCATCATCTTTGCTTCCTAACTACCTTGACTTTCTTCAAGTCTCAGTTAGTCTTACTTTCTGCAAGCTTTTCCCATGTCTCCTTAAACTTAGTGCCTCCACTCTGTTGATTATATCCGCCTTCTCCTTGGTCGGTTGCTGTCCTTCATTCTTGAAGAGGACCAAAATGACATCACTATGTTGGAGTCAATGTACAGTGTGTCTCATTGTGTTTGATCAGAACAATATAAGCTTGGAAGGCTCTACATATGTCTCCTACATATATCTTATTTGTACATAGTTGTTTGCAACTTAAACTATGGGTTCCTTCAAAGCAGGGAAATTTTTTTTTTGCCTTTCTTTGCCTTTTCTTTCTTTCTTTCTTTCTTTCTTTCTTTCTTTCTTTCTTTCTCTTTCTTTCTTTCTTTCTTTCTTTCTTTCCATTTTTCTTTCTTTCTCTTTTTTTCTTTCTAAGCATGCTAATGCTTGGCATGGTGCCTGGGCATATAGTTGGCACTAACAAATACTAGCTAACTGTCTGAAACATGACTAGAACTTTAGAGCAACACTAGACATCTCTCCTTTTAGTTCATGCAATTGAACTACCTTCTGAAAGCCTGCTTTCAATAATATGTAAACTCTACTAGGTAGAGTACAAAGTGAACTCACATTTTATTTAATTATTTTGAACTGAATTATTATTAAAAGCATGTTGAAGTGAAGTGTCTGCATGATAAATTGGTATTTACAAATATGTGTTGAGAAAATTATTTTCAAAGTACTGCTCT